TTTCCATGAAGATAGGTGCATCACTCTTTCTACATGAAGGTAGACCCATCACTATGGCCTCTTTCTAGCCTCCCAAAGTAGAGAACTCTCTTGGGTCTGCTCTACTTGGTTGGTTTCCCATCTTTCTGAAGACAGGGGACCTGCAAAAGAACCAGAACTTCCTAAATCCTAAGTCTTTGTTACAGGAAGCCTTTCAGGCCCAGTGTAGTCTATTATCAGCCCGAGATATGAGACTGTTGGATATGTATGCGAAACTATATTTTCCAAATCTGTAGAAACAACTGGCTATACTTTGTCTATGCCTTTATCTTATTTCTCAGTTGTTTAGACCGGGGAAGTGAGAACTATTGCTGACCTTAGAAATAGAGATGAAGGAACTGAGGCCAGAGAATTGAAGCTAATGAGTAAAGTCCAAAGATTAGTTTCTGAGCACATGTGATGTAAGGAACACACACACACAAGGACAGCTCAGAACTTTCTGAAGCTCTTAGTGGTCAGCCTGAAGTCCCTCAGCAAGCTACTTCATTTATTCTTGCTTCCTTTCCTTCTCTGCTTTCTATTCTCCTTTTATGAGGTAATTAAAAATTAGATTTTCCTATGCAAAACATGGAGTTCAATCTTTTTCAAATCACAGGCTTTAATTACCGGGCCTACATTTATGCTCCTGCACACGGGAGCAATTCTGTGGTCCTTACTAGACGTTAACTGACAAACCAACTCTTGGCAACCAAGCATACTAGAGAGTGGTGAGGTGCCCTGAAGTCCTGCTTACAGGGTTTACCAAGCTTCGGAGTGTCAGTGCCCTCTTCACGACTGACTACAAATGACCGATGATTAGAAACTGGCTTCTGAAAAAGAAGCATGAAGTTCCAACTTAGATAAAGGCTCCCTCCAGGACGCCTTACTCCGGTTAACTCTCCCCCTCTCTGTAAAAAAGCACTGCCCAAACACCTACTAGAATGTAAGTCTCAGGGACCACCCAGTGTAGGGACACTTGCAGTCTATCCCAGCACCATGTGGGGGAGTGTTTGGCAGTGAAAGAACACAGAGGGGATTCAGGGCACCATATCTGGTGATGCTGGACTCTGAGAACATCAAGGGATGAGTCTGGCTGCGAGGCAGCAGTAAAGAATGCTCTGTGAACACACTGTAGTGACAAGAGGGCAGATACAAGTGTGAACCATACACTGCCTGATGGGAGCTGACAGGCAGCCCATAACTCCCACCAAGCTTGTACCCCACATTTCCAGTCTCACACCTCACAGCCTTGGCTAGCAATCCAGACAAATCCCACCTGGGCTCTTCCTGCCGCCCTCCTCAACACAGTCAATGCATTCCTCTCCTTTTGCTTCAATGGCTCAATACATGTTTTGAGACATTAGTTTATCCCCTTTGGGCTTATCCGTAGGTGGCAGGGATACAGGCACCACTTTCAGGATATTTCTTCTTACTACTATTTGTTGCCCAAAGCCTGGGCCCCAAAAAGTGAACAGAGTTTGCTGGCAAAGAAACTGGGAAAGACGGAAGGAAGAGAAAGGCTTTTTCTGAGAGAGATGTTCCTACAGCTGGAAAGGAGGGTAAGAGAGCAGCAGCCAATGCTGGGATGCTGCCGTTTTAATAAGAATGGATAAGGATGTGCGATACTCTACAGCACGTCCCCAGATCTGAGGATGTGGGATGCTCTGCACTATGGCCTCCAGATCTGAGGATGTGGGATGCTCTGCACTATGGCCCCCCAGATCTGAGGATGTGGGATACTCTGCACCATGGTTCCCCAGATCTGAGGATGTGGGATGTTCTGCAGCATGGTCTCCAGATCAGAATATTGGTTTGATTTTAAGTAGTGACAAGAGGAAAAGAGCTGGGCATAGTGGCACACACCTGTAATATCAGCACTTGAGAGGCAGAGTCAGGAAAATCTCTATGAGTTTAAGGGCAGCCTGATCTACATAATGAGTTCTATGCCAGCCTGGACTAAATAGAGAGACCCTGTCTCAAAAAACCAAAACAAAAAAGGAGTGGAAAAGACCAAAAAGAAGGGATCATATGTTTAAGTCAGAGCTATGCCATCTATGGACATGCACACTGCAATACCTGGCTTAGGTGGCAGTTCTGGAAGGGACAAGGGAAATGTGTGACAGATGGATTCAATAGCCTAAGAGACACCTGTGGGTATCAGGAGAAAAGAATCTGTGGCACATTTCCTTTCTCTCCATGCCACAGTTGCTTCCTTGACAGTTACCTTTTACTTCTGTGGAGGTAGCTTGTGCCTCCTGAGCCCACATGAGCCTCTGCTTATATTTTTCAGGTAGGGACTGTGGTTACGAGTATCTCAGTCCCTTTTGGGAGAACTCTGCCTTGCCTCTGAGACCATCACTGCACTCAGCTACTGTGCTGGTAGACATTGAATTGGGCTGTATTTTCTGATGATAGCCTGCTGGAAACACAATGGTTATTTAAATGGTAATGTATTCCTGTTATGAGTAGTTTTCCCACTGGTCTGGTCCCACCACCAGGCCAGCCCCAAATACACACTGAGACACTGTATTAGATATAAAGCTGTTGGCCAGGTACTAATTTCTTATTGGCTAGCTCTGTCTTAATGATTAACCCATTTCTATTAATCTAAGTATTTCCACGTGGCCTCATCTTACCAAGAGGGGCCAGCGTTCTGCTCTCTCCAGTCTCTCCATGCTGATTCCTCCTTACTACTTCCTCTCTCCTCCTTGTCTCCTAGTCCCGCCTATCTTGCTTTCCTATTGGCCAATAGTGCTTTATTCATTAACCAATACGAGAAACATATTTACAGAATGACATCTCCTATCATAATGTATTTCAGTTTCAGGCCACTAAGTTTTTATCAAGTTTACTTATCCTGTTCTTTCAAGATGGTTGTTGGCTAAGTGGCAGTCCATCAATGTATAACTCTTCTGAGACAAGTGAAATTTGAGTTTTTTTCTTTTTTTTTTTCTTTTCTTTTTTTTTTTTTTTTTTTTTTTTTTGGAGAGGAAGGACATCTCTAGGCCAAGATATAATTATAAAGGTGGCATTTGGGATGGAGCACCTGAGCCCCAGCTTCTGAAAGGCCTTTTAGAATATAAGTTCAATTCAACAATTGGGACTAGTCCTTTTAAAGCATGCCTTTTATTATTATTATTATTATTATTATTATTATTATTATTATTATTATTATCAGTGGATTGAATTGAGCTGCTCTGCGTGGAACACACAGTAAGCTTTGTAAAGTGTTTCCATGTTGCTTTCAGCTCTCATAGGCCCATAGCCAAAGTCCTCACAGGCCCCACATAATCTAATTTAGATGGTCTCTAACATGAGCCACATATAAAGCTATTGTCAGCCACGCTTGCCTAGTGAATAGGTGTTCCTGTGACACTCGAGAACTAACCTAACTTTTGACTGAGTAAATAATCTCAGAGATTGGAACACAGGGAAATAATGCCCACTGGTGGGGATAGCCTTGAGCCTAATGATCGGAGAGACCAGCCAGGATTTTATTGTTTCTGGCCAAAGAACATTGCTAAATTTTCAGAACAAAGGAGGCCAAGTTACAAGGTGTTCTCTTGAAAAGATTACAGCCAGAAGAAAATGAAATCAAGCTCTTTAAAGTAAAATGTAATGTTTTCAGGTATTTTCACAAGAAAGAACATTGATAACAATACACTATTGTGATAGATTCAAATCTGAAATGACTTCCAGTGCCTTTGCCTAAGGTACCATGAGAAAAAACAAAAACAAAAAAACTACAACCTAAAAAATATTAAAAAATCTGACTGCTTATGCATTCAATACCAGTACAATGCACTAGGCTCTGTTATCTGAGAAGTTACATGTGCACCGCGTTGGGGGAAAGGAACTATTATTTTGAGAACATTCATGAATCTGGCCTCTTCCTTCCGTTTTCTGACACTTGCATCAGAGCACACGAAATGCAATCCAGTAAGTATCCTTCAGTGCAGAGAAACCAGAAGCCATCTCTTGGGTCCAGAGTGTTTATATTCATTAATATTGTTGGGAACATATATGGACTCTGGAACAAAAACGACTTGGTTAAGTTTGTACTAGCCTAAATTTGTAATTCTTTGTGTTCCGATATAGCCCCCTTTCAAAGACCACACAAGACTGGAAGCCGGATTTACATCTATAAGTGCATAAACAGCCCCGCCATATATTAAGTCTGTGGCTTTAAGAAAGTTCCTCGCGTCTTCTTTATCTCTAAAATGGGGACTAGAACAGTTGAAAGATATAGACATGGAAATGTGTGCCAAAAGGGTTAGCACCTACAGCTAAATAATTATCAGCAAATATTTGTGTGCTGCATTTAACCACTTTGTAAGGGAGAGGCACACGAATAGAGAAATGAAAGATAAGGCAGGAAGCATCTCCAGAGCCTGAGGCCAGCCTGAGCTACAGAGAGACCCTGTCAAAAAAAAAAAAAAAAAAAAAAAAAAAGCGGGGTGGGGGAGTAAAAAGGAAGGAAAAGAGAAACAAATGACTCAGAATCTGAATATGACCTTCATCCCGCCTCTCCTCCTTATATAGTTTTCTTTCTTTCCTTCCCTTCTCTCTCTCTCTCTCCTTCCCTCCTTCTTTCTTTTTTTTAAGAATTGCACTATAATTTGTAACTTCCTGGGCTTCTGTTCTCAACTTCTGCTCGGCAGAAACTCACAAACGACAGCCATGCCCACACAGCTGGGCACACCACCGCTCTGTGGGAACCGTCCGCGTTCCCGGGCCTGCGAGCTGCGGCTCGTCGGCGGGAGCGCGGGGTTTTCGTCTGGGAGAGGTGGTGGCATCACGCCGCCTGGCGTTCGCGCCACCGCCTCCCCTTCTGCGCTCGCCTGCCGGTCGCCCAGCGCCTTGTCCCGCCGCCCGCCCTTCGGAGCGTGCGAGCCTGGCGCAGGAGGCGGGCTCTGCGCTTCCCGGCCTCGCCTCCGCAGCCGGAGGGAGGGAGGGAGGAGGCGGGAAGGCGGGCGGAGGCGGGGGAGGAGGCGGGACTACGGCGGGCCGGAGCTGGCGCCGAGCGCGGTGGGAGAGCAGCGGGTACCCGGCTGGCTTGGCTGGCGGCCTCTGCCCGCACCTCTGCGCCGCAGCCCCGCGTCTCTCCCGCCCTTGGCTCCGGCTCTGCGGCCGGCGGCGTAGAGGAGCCGGCGGAACCCTGGACCGCTGGTACGTTGGACGGGGATCGCCACTCCTTCTGCAACCTTTTGTGCTGCAGAGGTGGCGGTGGTGATGGGTGGGGTACGCGCGTGAGTGTGGGTGCCCCAGTCGGCGAGCCACTGTGCCAGCCCCAGGCACGGCGCCGCCCCTTCCTCCTCGCCTCGTGTCCGGGCTGGGCGAGCGGTGTGTGTGTGTGTGTGTGTGTGTGTGTGCGCGTGCAGTGTGTGTGTGTGTGTGTGTGTGTGTGTGTGTGTGGTGTGCAGCAGTAGGAAGCCCCGAGCGCGCCGGCCTGCTGGGTGGCTGGCATGGCAGCCTCGGTGGCAACCGGCTTCGATGGGGGCCGGTCCCTGAGCCCCGGTGCGGATGCATGGCTGGGGTCTGGAGACTGGGGTGGGGCCCGCGCGGGGTGCAGGAGCCCGCAGCTTCCTGGCACAGGGGTGGGGCCGGCGACGCCGGGAGTGTGCAGCGCGTGTGAGTGTGCGGGGGCGTGCGCCCCGTGTGCGCGCTGCGGGCGGGCGTGCGCTCGCCGCCGCCGTGCGGTGCGGGGGACTCTGCGACCCGGAGCGGCGCTGCCGCGGTGCCGAGGTGCGGAAGTCTGGGTGCGCTGGCGCGCTCTAGCTGGGCGGCTCGCGGTGCCCGCAGCTTCGGGCGACAGGCCCAGGGAGGCCCATTGAGAAGTAGCTCTGGCCCGGCCTCTGTCCCCAACGGTGTGCGGGCTTACGACTGCGGGGGCCAGATAGCGCCTGGCGACAGCCCAGACGACCTTATCGCGCCCGCCCTGTGCGCCCTGCACCCCGCGGGCGAGGCCGGGCCGCTGTGGCTGGGGACCGGCGGGCCACCCGGCGGTGGCGTGTGTGCACTGTGGATCGCGGCCCGGTGCTGGCCCGAAACTCCCGCGGCAGATGTCGCGGGCACCGCCGCCCTCGCCCCACCTGTCGCGGGTGGACTTTGGGGCGGGTGCAAAGCCTAGGAAAGGGCGTCGGGTGGCGGGCTGCGGGCAGACCTTGAGAAGCGGCCCATTGTGAAGCTGCCAAAGTCGCTCTAGTGGTGGAATCTGCAAATCTCGGCCAGAAAGGAGCCCGGGTCGCGAAGGGAACGATTGCCTCGTGCTGGCCCCTGGCAAGTGTCTGCCTCGCTAGAGACTCCCGCGGCTCTCCGCCCACGCCGCTTTGCTCCTGGTGGGCTGCTGATCTCTGCAGATCCAGGATCTCTCTCTCTCTCTCTCTCTCTCTCTCTCTCTCTCTCTCTCTCTCTCTCTCTCTCTCTCTCTCTCTGTGTGTGTGTGTGTGTGTGTGTGTGTGTTGTACGCGCGCGCACGCGCGCGTGCGAGCCTGGGAGACACAGGGAACACTGGAGCTGAACTTTTTCATCCTTCCAAGAGGAGTAAGGATGGAAACAGCAACATTGTACATTGTTAGCCGCTCCTAGACGAAAGAGCAGACGCCATAGAAGATCTCCAAGGATTCTGAACTTCTTTTTTACGTTGCTTATCCTCAAACAAAACAAAACAAAACAACAACAAAAAACACTCTATAATTCAAAGTGGCAAGGTACTTTACCGTGGTGCAACAAAGTAGACACTAGGGATTGGAAACAACCCTTCACAAAGTTTATTTTCACAACTCGTTCAATCCAGGAAGCTCCGAGTCTCAGTGTGTGCTGAGGTTATTTTAATGAATGGACATTCAAATGATATTTTTATAGTACTTTGGATTATAAACAAAATAGGATAAAATCTAAGCGTTCATAAATGAGCACCACGGCGACCACTTAACTTTGGTAAGAACTGGTGCATAAATTGTGGTTTTGGTATGTTTATTTAATTGTAAATGGGAAGGTTAGCACCAAATCTTACAGGGTGTAAGGGTTACTCACTGACATTACTAACAGCCAATTACAGCCAATTAGCTTCCATTATGTGTTCCGTGTTTTTTTTTTTTTTGTTGTTGTTGTTGTTTTTTGTTGTTTTGTTTTTTTTGTTTTGTTTTGTTTTGTTTTGTTTTTTTTGGAGAACCTTAAGTCTTAAAAGTGATTGGTTGTGATGAGAACAGTAGTTTATAAACACCATTTAATTTTTGTTTCCGTTATTTTGTCATTGAGTACCAAGTTTTCAGCTTTCCGTTGGACAACGCATCACCTCCACCATAGACATCTGTCCCTTTGCTGTTATGCTCCCAGAAGGAGGAGGTTTCTTCTTGTGAAGACTTTGTGTTGACTTGTGGTTTCAGCTATTGCCAGACATGTTCAGAGTGACGCTGAGTATCTTGTAGTAATGTGGGTTCGATTTTAACTGGCAGAGATGGAAGCAAAATGAATACCGGGCGCTTTGAGGGAGGAGCTATTAAGGGAACTGATACTAGAAAGAGGAAAGACGCATATATGTCTTAACCAAACCAATTTTGGGTTGCTGGGAAGGTTGATGGTTTGTTGGTAAAGGTAAAAGGAGGTTTTAAAAATGCCACACTGTACTTAATAACTGTCCTTCCAAATCCCTAGTGATTTAATTTTACAAACTGAGGAAAGATAAGAAGGTCGGACAAAGTCTCCATAGTGAGAGCCCATGGCTTTGGCTAAGCATTTTTTTTTCCACTCACTGTTGGAGTCTGCCAGCTGAGCCATTTTATTCCTGTTCAGTGTTTTTCTACTTGAGGAATGTTTGGTCCCTTATTTATTTATTTTAGAGTAGTCCCTGAGAGCAGAAAGTATTTTGATTACAAAGGATTTTCACTAGTTGAAATGGAATTTCCCCTGTTCGAGGGTCTTTCCTTAAAGTCCTTACTTTCTCCCCCCCACCCCAGGGTTTAGGAGAATTAAAACTCATCACTTAACAACTCTGTTTCTTTTCTCTTAAGAAGTTCTGTCTTCTCCTAGTACCATCTTTAGTAATTAGTGGAATTTATCAAAGTTCACAGCACCTCCAGATTTATAACCATACATATATATATATGTATATAACCATAGATACATTTATGTGTATAGAGATACACCAATATATGTGGAGTTAAAATTTGCCAATTTTTTTCTTGTTATTTAGTTAGTGGATCTGAGTTGGTGCTTGAAATACAGGGATTTAGGAATTCAAGAGTAAGAGTAAAATAATTTGTTTAGCACTGAACATTTTGTTTTATGGAAAAAAGCAAGCTTTGGAGTTGCTGGTGTTGTTCAGATTTGCTGTTGCTCATATGAAGTTTGTATTTCCTCTGGCATGGTGTTAGACTTTGTGTCCACTGCTCCCATGAACTCAAGAAATACTGAGTGGCCCAGTTCGTCATTGAGTGCATGGCTGGGTGGGTATGCCTTCCCAAGTACACAAGTAGAAAGATTTCCTTTCCTTTATAAAACCTATACCTCTTTACTGCTTTGGGATAGGGTAACAATATATTTGGCATCTGAGGATATTTGAAGGTTCAAGAGGTTCTGCAGACAACTACGCCAGGGTATTAACTATGAAGGGAGATGTTGCTTTTTGAAGGGTTTTATTAATTAATTGTGATGCTATGTATCACTTACCAGTTCAACTTTTCCGCCTGTGGAGCCTCTTTGCAGTCACTGTTGGATGTCCAATCTTCCTTGTGCCTTCCCTGCCAGTGGCAGTTGGCTGTACTTGGAGGTGTTTAAGTTTCCTGTCTGCATTATTTACAGAGTAATGCCATAGAGCTTTCTGTTTGTTTCAGCTCTTGGTGTTGGAAACATTGTATCTTCAAGCTTTAGCTTTATTGACTTTAGTCTGTTTTTCTATGCTTGATTTTTCTGTCTTAAGAAGTGGTCAACTGTCTTTCTCATTCAAGACCTAAGCCTTCAAATGCCAAGGTAAAACCAGAGTCATTTGTTAGTGTTAGGGATTTCATAGATTAAAAGATACCATAGATCTAAAAAGTATACCAAAAATGGATGATTTTATTTGAAAGTTAAATTTTTGGGTGACTTTATCACAACTTCTAATTTCTGTTTTGGGAGATGGTAGTGAAACCTTTAATTTTGTAGTAGTTTGCGCTACATGCAGTTTTGAGGGAGGATGTATGTAGCTACACTATTTCTTGGCTCTGCTGTATTTATGTTTGGTCTCCCTTTCCCACTATATCATCTACCCCTCCCGGTGCCCGTGTCTAGCCGGTGCAATGGCAGGAGTGAAAGTGGCGGGCAGGCAGAAGCTTCTACCCTTGGCTTACCTTGGGTTACTGCGGAGGGTCCTTGGCTTACCTTGGGTTACTGTGGAGGGATCCTTGGCTTACCTTGGGTTACTGCGGAGGGATCCGTTCTATTTTTGACTTGGCAGGAAGAACCAGGGATGATCAGTCGCTACACTTTGATCATTATGAAATTACAGATTGTTTCTTAGATGCCCTCATCAGCTCAGTGACGACTGGTAATTGCTTTAAGGTTCCTCTGCTTTCAGCTTTAGTCAAGGCTTTAAACCAGCTCTTTCTATTGGTGCTACAATATGTTTGAGAGTCTAAATATTTTTCTAGTGCATCTAAACACTTGGAAAGAGTATGCCACCAAAATACCTGGCATAAATTATGTGAAAGTTGAAATGAAATTTAAGACTTTTAAAGATTTTCTTGATTCAGAATTAAGGCCACATGTAAGGCAGTAATAAGGCATTCACATTGTTTCTAATGTTTCTGTTTGCTTTTCAATCTAAGTTTCAAAGAGTCTGTATCAAATTTCTCCCACTCTGTGACTAGTGTAGCCTGGCACTCAACTGTAGAATAGCTAGCAGTCTACAAATATTTTTGGAGATTTTTCCTGCTGTACTATTCATCTTAGTTAGAGTTCCTGTTGTTGTGGTGAAACACCATGGCCAAAGCAAATGGGGGGGGGGGTTTATTTGTCTTAAATTTCCTCATCTTAGTCAGTCCCTGAAGAAAGTCAGGACAGAAACTCAAGTAGTGCTGGAACCTGGAGGCAGGAAGTGATGTAGAGGCCTGGGAAGTGATGCTTCTTTCTTATTGGCTAGCTCCTCATGGTTTGTTCCCCTTGCTTTTTGTTTTTGTTTTTGTTTTTGTTTTTTTTTTTTTTTTTTTTAGACTTAGGGACCCCCAGCCCAGGGTTTCACCACCTACAATAGGCTGGGTCCTCCCCCATCAATCACTAACTAAGAAAATGCCCTACTGAGTTTTCTACAGCCCAATAAAATTATCTAGCATATTATCTATATTTATCGTGTGTGTGTTTGAGTGTGTGTGTGTGTGTAAGAAGGAGAGTGTGTGTAGGACAGACAAGGGAGAGAGAGAGAGAGAGAGAGAGAGAGAGAGAGAGAGAATGAATTAGAAAATGTAAGTGTGTCCTGGGGATTGAAGTCAGGTTAGCTCTGTCTTCATACTATAAAGTCCAGAGTCACCTTGGAACTAGTAATAAAACTATTTTCCCCCCAGTCATTTCACAGATGAGGTTATAGAACTTTTTATGTAAAGTACCTCCTGAAACACCCACAGAAATGAATAGATATGTATGTTTGTGAGCATAATTAAATCCTGTGTAAAGCTCTGCTTATACAGAAGTTTGAGGATGAGCAGGTGGGCCCTGGAGGCAGGCTAGTGGCTGTGCGGATCCCTGTCACTGATCTCAAGTAGTTGTGTTTAACTGAATACTTCAAAGTGGTGTTAATAATATTTTCTTCAGGGAGTAAAGATTATAACACATAAACTATGTCTTTTGAAATATGACTTGAGAAATGGTTTCTTTTGATTCCCATTGCCCATTACAAATCTATTTATTTAATAGGTCAACATAAATTTTCTAACAATATTCTGTAGATTCTGTAGGGGTAATTATAAGAAACAAATATTTTTATCATTAAGAAGCACATTTTGTTTCACCACACTTCAGTTTCTGTTAAGCCCAAATACCTCATTGGTGAGGGGTCCAAGTCTTCCTTATGCAGATAATTATTTTCTGAATGTGAACATAGTTGGGGCTAAAATGAATGAAATGGAACAAGTCTGCTCTCTACATTGAAAGATGTTCTCCTGGCTGGTGGCACCAGGGTTTCTATTTACCATGACGGTTTTGTTACATTAGCCACTTCTGGTTATTAAGCAAAATACCTTGCATTCACTAAACTATCCATTTCCTGTGTCTGAAATTCCTCTGTGCTGGGAGGAAAATAACAAAACAGCAGTGCGTGACCTGTTTCATTTGCTGTTTGTCTTCAGTCTGAGAATGTGTGGTATAGCACATTGCTGCCTTTTCGGTCCCCACACAGATAAAATGAGTCCTCTCACTGTCGTGAGCCCTACCCACCTTGTGCTGGGTACAGCATTGAGAACTCAGCAACCTGTGAAACCTGTACAGGTTGAAAAGGACTTTGGGTTTTTTGTTTGTTTGTCTTAGCAATCTAATTAACTGGGGATGCAAGAGATTAGATTCTTTTAATTACGTGTTAAGAGGGGCATGGCGTTGAAGAGATAGATGCTAGAGACCTTGAATAGGTTGTGGTTTGTCTGTCTTATTAAAAGTGTCTACTGAGTCAGGAGGTCGCCATTGGATAAAATGCCTGTTGTGCAAGAATGACGACCCGAGTTCGTTCCCTAGCGCCTACGTAAAAGCTAGACATGGCAGTGCACCTTTAAAATCCCAGTTCTTCTTGGTAGAGACAGGAGGACCCCAGTTGCTCCTTGTTTAGTAGCTGAACTAAAGTGATGATCAACAGATCATTTAGTTAGAAACTCCATCTCACAAAATAAAGTCGGGATTTAGGGGCATGGCTCAGTGGCAGAGGTCTTGTCTATGGTGTTCAAGATCCTGGGTTCACTCCCCAGGACCAAAATAAATAAGGTGAATAGAAGAAGAAGAATGTAACCCTGATGTTGACCTCTGGCTTCCACATGCGCCTGTATGTTTGGATGTGCATGTGTACACACAGACACACACACACACACACACACACACAGACACACACACACACACAGACACACACACACACACACCCCTACACCTTTCAAGCACCTTCCAGCCCTTGCCTCCAGCAGTCTCACAAAGGACGTTTTTATGGTTGCTATTTTAGAATTCAAATGAGTAGACACCAAAATTAATTGCATAATAATAAGACCACACATCTGTAAAGGAGCTGCACATTCATCTTCCTGAGTTCCCTGGATGCACGGAAGCTGTGTTGTGGGGGACAGTAGTATGATTGGCCTCGTTGTAGAGGTTGCTGTTTATGCAAGGTCAGGAGGAAGAGTTCTTAGCGCGGCTCCAGCTTAGATCCATTCTTTTTGTACCTGCCTCAGCATTGCTTTTATCCCCCCATACAGTGCTCTGAACACATCAATAGGAATGGAATGGTAAAACCATTGCTCAGGCCTCCAACTGTTCATGTGTTTTTAGTTAGCCTAGGTAAATGCTCTTAGTTTCTGGGTAGAGTTTACACAGCACAACACAGGGAAACAAGAGCAATAAGACGCTTTGCAGATTCATTTAGCCAAACTAACTCAAGACAACTTTTTAAGTGAATTAATCAGTTACTGTGTCCCGTATAACCCGTAGCCAGCATTAGTGCCTCCTGTGGCTGTCATTCTGTTTTGCCGTTAGAATTAGTATAATTGCTTTATAAATTGTGTTACTTTTTAAATTACAGACTCACTTTTGTGTCTCATGTTTAGTATCTGGAGAAGAACAGAAGAATTATTATGCCTGTGTTCCCTCGGGATTCTTTGGAAATCGCACAGTGACGTCATCTGGGATTTAGTCTGGTAGGTTACATTTTGCTGTTTCTGTTTGTTAACCATTGTGTGCACATAATGTCATAGTGCGTGTTAAAGATTACACAGGTGAACATGTGAAAATGATGCCCCGTGTTCGGTGACAGTTGTGTGTGCCACACTCATAGCACCCCAATGGTTGGAATTGAGATTATGATGGCGGCATGCTAAAATTACTTGAAATGTGTAGTGCTTTCATGAGTTTTCTTGAATTCCCAGAAGATCAGGAGTTCTTAGGGTATGGCATTTCAGAACATATGGTAGAAATAGTTGCTCAAATTTGAGGGATATTTTAATAAAAAATTATCTCTCAAAACTGCTGAAGTAATTCGCAACACATTCTAGTTATTTAGCAGCATAAATATAGTGGATGGGCCGGGCATTGGTGGCGCGCACCTTTAATCCCAGTACTCGAGAGGCAGAGGCAGGTAGATCTCTGAGTTCGAGGCCAGCCTGGTCTACAGAGCTAGTTCCAGGACAGGCTCCAAAACAGTACAGAGAAACCCTGTCTCAAAAACAAAACAAAACAAAACAAACAAACAAAAATATAGTGGATGAAGGAGAATAGTTTTCACATAGTTGTAATTTGCTGCACAGGAAACCCTACTCTGTTTTGTTGTATTATGAATTCTAACTTAAAAGTATGCAATACTTTGGCAATTTTTAGTTGCCCCCATGCCTGTGTTTATGCTCACATAGTTGTCTTTCCTGGGAAATGATTAAAAATAGCCTTCTGTCTCTTTAGCATTTTCAGAACTATATTGTTGTGAGTGTCTGCCCTTTGAATCCTTGTAGTTTCTTGCTTTGGTATAGAGGCCATTGTCTTTGGAGAAGGCAGTTTCATATCCAGTGATCTATGAATGGTCAGGAACTGGAGAATGAGATGATGGGGGATGTCCTGTATGCTGCAAATATGTGTTGCTTGTGCTGGTTGATGAATAAAGCTGTTTTGGCCAATGGACAGGCAGGATGTAGCCAGGAGGAAGTAAAGGCAGGGCTACCTTTCTTGGAAGAGGCTCAGAGAGTGGGTCTCCAGAGAGATGCCATATAGCCTCCAAGGAAGAAAGAGGCCCGGCCATCACCGGTAAGCCTAGACCACGTGCAGATACACAGATTAATAGAAATGGATTAATAATTAAGAGAGAGCTAGCCAATAAGAAGCCTGAGCCATTGGCTAAACAGTTTATAATTAATATAAGCCTCTGTGTATTTATTTGTGACTAAGCAGCTGCAGAACTGGGCAGGATTGAAACTTCCATTTACAACAATTTAAAAGGATAATGGTAGAATGTGCTGGTGTTATATCTAATTCATTGAATGCACATTAAAAATTTTGTTTTTAATTTTGTGTGTGTGGTTTTATCTGTATGTGGGTTTGTATGTATGAGTGGCTTTCAGAGGCCGGAAGAGTGTATTGAACCCCATAGAGTTGGAATTAAAGGTGATTGAGAGCCATCTAACATAGACACTAGGAGCAAACTTGGGTCCTCTTCAAGAGCCGCACATGCTTTTATCTGATGAGGTATCTGTCCAGCTTCCAAGATGTACTCTGAAAGACTGCAAACACTACTCAGATGTCTAGTGTTTGGGAAGAGAAAGAAGTTCTTCAGAAATTCATAGTGCATTTGGGAAGAATGCACTTAATTAACTCACCCAGCTAAAGTAAACTAGAAGAAATGGTCAGGAGGCCACAGAGATACATTTGAATGGCTCTCTGTATTTTATCCATGTGTGTGTAGGTGTGCATTCATACTGTTTTAATGTACATTGTTTTATTTATTTTTTAATAAAGTGGTATTCTAGACGAGCCGGGAAAGGTGAAGTGATTCACCTTCAGGGATGTGACACACACAGGACAACCATTGAGTTTTCCTTTTGACTCTGTAATGTGCTGGAGAATCATGTAAAACTTGGCCACACATTACCAACACCTCTTACTTTTAACGTCAGGGTTTATTGAAGGATAACTTGTACATAATCAGATTTACTTGAGAGTAGTTTGAAAGTTTTCTTTGAAGTGTGTTCCTTCTCCCCATCCTAACTTTTACCAGTCATGGTGTAATTTCTACCCTAATTATTTTGAATTTTCCAGAATGCCACATAAATGGAATCAAATGGTATATAGCTTTTCTACCGACTTATTTTGCTTGTAGGGATCCTAGGTTGCAGTGTTCACTGCTGAATGGTAATCCATTCAGTGCATTATCTCATGCTTTGCTTCTTGAAGTGATGTTTGGACCTTTGCCAGGTCTTGATAATTATGAACGATGCTGTTACAAATATTGGTATTCATGTCTTAGTGTGTACATTTCCACATTTTCCATGGGTAACTTCCTAAGACTGAAGTAGCTGGGTTATTTAACAAGCATTTGTTCACCTTTATAAGCAATGCTAAACTGTTATTCAACGTACCGTCAAGTAACTAGCATATCCAAGTGCATTCAGATGAACTCAAATCTCACTCATCGTAGATTTATTCCATTTCATATCCAATTTTAGCAAATTTGATAGGCAAATATTTTCAGCCCTCAGGAGATTAGAAGGAGTAAATTTGAAGGGTTTGGGGATAGTGACTGGAAGGAGACAAATTATGTCTACCTGAGTGACTTAAAGAGGCAGAAATTAGAAGACTGTAATTCTTCTGGCATGTGCAGTCTGGAAAGTTCTGACACCTTTATGCATATTAATATTGCCTAGTGGTTTCGTGGTTGTTATTTCTTTTTAAAGTACCTTTGAGGGAGATGTATGTATGGGCACCGTATGCATGCCTAGAGTGCCCTTAGACCCAGAGGATGGCATCCGATCCTGGACCTGGAGTAGAAGACAGCTGTGCACAGCCATGTGTGCTGAGGTCAGAACCCAGGTTGTTCTCAACTTCAGGGCCTCTTCTCTATTCCAACAGCACAGGTAAAACAGGCAAACTCCGAGGGCCAAATGAATCACTAGAGTCTTAGTCAGGCCTAAGAGTCCTCATTTGCCAAAGGACACCTGTGTTGCGCAGTGTTCATTTCAGGTCGCTCTTGAAAAGGATTTTGTAAACATGATCACATTTTTGCTTTGTGAATTTAAGAAGGTCACATCTACTTTCCTTCATGTTGTATTGCTAAATGTCGCTAAACACAATAAAGCATATAAAAGCAGCGTTTAGATTACTCAGGTAAATTTTTTTTTGGTTCACTCCAATTTTAAAAAAAATCCAGAAGATGAAAGAGTTTTTTTTATTTTTGTTTGTTTTGTTTTGTTGTTGTTGTTGTTGTTGTTTAATGAAAAGTAAGTGGCAGACTTGGGGAATGATCGAGTCAGTAAAGTGCTTGATGCACAAATATGAGCCCCAAATGCAATTACACATTTGTAATCTCACTTTAGGGGAGGTTAGAGAGAGATGGATTCTTGGGGCTCTTTGCTCATTCATTCTAGCCTACTCCAGGAGTACCAGGGTTCTTTCTGGGAGACTGTCTGTCAAAACCAACCACTCAACAAAACAAAACAAACAAACAAAAACTCACAAGGAGGATGGCTCTTTGAAATAGTACTGTAGATTTGTCCTTGTGGCATCCACGTGCATGATCCTATTTATATGTGCGTCCCATACATGAACAGATCTCTCTACTTCCTTCTCTCTCTCTCTCTCTCTCTCTCTCTCTCTCTCTCTCTCTCTCTCTCTCACACACACACACACACACACACACATTTTTGTATAACATTTGTGAAAGGTATGAGCTATTTTCAGAGCTAGTCTAAAACTAGGACATTTATTCTATATCTTCAAAACATTACTCTTTTTTGCATAGGAAATATGCAAATTCCATATAGGAAAATTTTGTGTGGGAAATAAAGTTAGAAGTGTGCACACTGCATACAGATTGTGGTCTTTTGACAGCTCATGCAGGTACATGGAGGATTTCCTATGCATATGTTATCATACTTTGGTTTAGTCTCAGCCAGAACTCAAGTTGGAGTGAGACATACTATAGTCAGTACTTTAAAAAAAAAAAGTGTACATTCTGAGCTGGGCATTGGTGGCACATGCCTTTAATCCCAGCACTCAGGAGGCAGAGGCAGGTGGATCTCTGTGAGTTTGGGGCCAGCCTGGTCTACAGAGCTAATCCCAGGACTGGTTCCAAAGCACTATAGAGAAACCCTGTCTCGGGGGAAAAAAAACAACAACAACAACAAAAAAATGTACATTCTGCATATTTTCATAGTATATATAAACATTTTTACCATTTGATGAAGGAAACTGGATGCTTAGTTTATAAGTCTGTTCAAGATATAATTGTTAGAAGTGAAAATATCAGAGTTGAGGTCGAAAATGGAAGTCATGCCTGTTTTATTTATCTTTTCCCTTTGGAAAAGGCAAACACATTATCCTCTTGGCTCACAGTTTTCTCTTCTCCAGCAATTCTTTTTTATTAAGAAATGAGAGTAGAAACATGATACTCTCCTGGTGAATGTATAGATTGTACATTATATAAGTCTTTACATTAGCACTTAGTTATATAAAATAGTACTTTCTCTTTGTGAAAAAAATGGGAACATTTTACATAAAGCTTTGTGGTAGTTGCTATAAAAATTTACAAAGCATATGCTCTTTGACTCAGCATTTTAGCTTTGGAACTTCTTGCAAAATTCATTTCTCTCTCTCTCTCTCTCTCTCTCTCTCTCTCTCTCTCTCTCTCTCTCCTCTGCATGTGTATTTGTGTTCATGCAATGTAAATAAAGTAAACACCTACTCTCATAATTGTGAATGTAGGGAGCATATAGTTAAATATTAATAGGTGCTTCCTCTAGGTATTGCATTGATAGAAGTGAAGAGAGATTTTGACTTTAATACAAATGTCAATATGAATTATTTGAATTGAACATCTTTCAGTCTGCATGGATTATGTTTTAGAGGTTTCAAAAATAGTAAAAAAAAAAAAAAAAAAAAAAGATCAAATCATTGAGTTAGGCTGGTGAGGAATGGAAAGGGGTAGATGTGTCTGGTTGGG